ATATCTATCAATAAGAAGATCAATATGAAAATCAGTGTTCTAAACTTTTCTACAGTCCCCCAAATATAGGCAGCTTTGTTACTATTTTGTTAAAGGAGGTCTCTTCTACAGTATGGCCAACATTTTCAAAAGAGCTAGCTGATGTGGTCACCCTTGTAGCATGTGTGGAATTTGAAGTTCTAAGGACTTTTTGGACCAAAACTTGAGAATCTTTCTGGATGTAGATATTTACAGAAGATTTTGTAGGTCCTCAATAGTTTTGATAATTTGTTGTTGGAACCTACCTCCTTAAACATAATGAGTTAAAATATCAGAGTGAGCTAGTGAATCCTTCAGAATTTGGACTAGGTTGTCTCATTTTAAGGACTCAGAAATCTAGGTACAAATACATTAAATAATACAAATAAATTAAATTTGTCTGCTTAAACAGTAGGAAACTGAAACAACATACTCTTGGAATCTTTCTGATGGATTATAAAAAAGAAAATGGGAAAATTGATTTGTTTTAGCGTTAGTAGTAATAGTAAATTTGAGCTGAATAGGTGAGAGCTCTTGTCTTTCAATTGCTGTTCATTCCTTAGGTTTAATACTCAGGAAATTAGACGTTAAAAGTGTGAGATTTACTCAAACTTTCTAAGAAAATTTTCTAAAACCATGCAGAAGCAATGAATTCTGAGAATTCAGCAATCATAGTACTAACCTTAAAAACCTCTTTCACAGAAGAGAGATGGTATTTCAAGTAGGGTTTTTCATTTGGCAGTGTATTGACAAGGATAAGAGATCTACTCAACTTCAGTGGTGCAGGCTGCCTTAGAATAGGTCTTACACTGTTGTCACTACAAAAGATTTTTATTTCTCACCTATCTCAAAATGTGTGTAGAGAAATTATCTGTAATTTTGAAAGTCTTCTGTGAAGAATTTCAGGATAGATTTAAAATAGCAGGATATGGCTTAGTGTGAGTCCACTCTTGTTTTGATGCTTGGAAGATTTATGGTTGATTTCAATGGGAGTGGGGTCATATTTAGCCCTACTAGATGACAGAATGGGCAAGTTTGAGTTACGGTCTGCCAAGACTGACTCTTACTTCTGTTGTGGCAGAGCAGAGGCAGCAGTGCTTTTGTCATTTAGGGACGTCCTCAGTGGTGACACTAGGCAGTAGACTGCTGTTGGTTTCTGAGCTACTTCTGCCAAGTTCTTCATTTGACTGAAGGGGTCAAATGAAGAATCCCCTTTCCAATAAGTCAACAAAGAGGCCTTTTTCATCCAAGACGAAAACATAGGCAAGAAAGGTAAGCTGATGAATGTTGAGGGATGGGTTTTAAAAAGTGTGACTTCACTTTTGCCAGAATATCCTAGGTTTTTACTTAAAACTTGAGGGTTTCTTTATTTCTATTCTTGCTTGAGCTAGATGGCCAGTGTCAGAGTACTTTGGACTTGTCACTTAAAGTAACTGAAAATATAGAATTGTGAGCGCGTAGTCTTTGCTGCCAAAGCTTGCAGTTTATTTTATTAACAGAAATAAATTGTAGCAGGAAAAAGTCATATTTTCATGGTTATGAGAGGAAAGGCTTTTCAGCTTGTTCATTAATCTTCCTTCTTCCCCATCTTCATACGCTCATTATTCATCTTTCTCATTTATGGTTATACATTTTACCAATCTGCTGTGTGTCATGCCACAGATAGTTAAAAATGGAGATGTGGACTGGATATTCACAACTAGTTGTCATGAAGCTTAAGATCTCATATGATAAATAAGCCATTTATTTATAGATAAAATATAAATACTTGCTTCCTGCTCTTGCTTTTTAGTACACTAAAAGAATTCTAAGTATTTATCCTAGAATCCTATAAGAAGCAGTATTTAGACTTTTGTGGCTTTTTTCTGTGTAATGGTGTTTTGACTTGTGGTGACCATGTCCCTAATTGCAACTCTGTTCTTTTTCTTCCTTCCAAACTTCTCAAGGGTGATATTTAATTTAGTATTGTGCAGAACTATAGATATGACAACAGCAATAACATATAGACTCCTATACAATTATTGAATCAGAGAGTTGAAACTTCTAGACTCTATCTGTACCCACAAAAAAATCACTTGGCAGTGAGCCACCAAAAGCAATTTTTTTCATTGCTTGCATTTTGATGTTTTTACTTTGGCTGCTGCTCAAAATGAAACACCTTGGGCTTGAATTGCTCATTAGACTTAAATGTATTGTGACGTATTATGGGCCAAAATACACTATGCAATATGCATATGCAGTATGCTTATACATATAAATTATTTGGTAGCATGGATAATCAAATGAGCTCAGTTTTTGCTACTGATTTAATACTTCAGAATGTAAAACTCACCCTGGTCATGGTCTACTGAAGTTTCCTCATTTCCCAGACATATTCTTCAGAGTATTCTCATGCTTACAATTTCATTTCAAGTCTTTCTCAGAAACTGATATCCTTTCAGATGATATACAATATTGCATGGGAGCTGACGCTCAGACACCTGAAGTGCCATCTATGCACCTGTAGCTACACTTATATTTCAGACACCCTTTTCTCCTTCCTCTGAGATGATCAAGCATGCTTGCATGAGTGGAAAAGCAGTGGGTATGCTCAGCAGTTGCTTACTCTCCTGTTCAGTACAAATACAGTAACATGGTCCTATGAGGTCATTCTCCTTCATGAGTTTCCTTCTGGCTCAGTTTTTAGCTCATTTTCTTCTAATGACTCTATGGTTTGCTCTCCAGCTACTGTACCTTACATGAGAGCTATTTGGCTGAAAGTAGCTGAGAAAGATACTGTCCAGAAAAAGTTCTCAGAAATGGTAGAAGTAAGTTCATCTTCTTGCGAAGTGAATTGGTACAGCAGCTATTCTTTTAGTCAGTAATTTTGTTTTATTTGTTCTGGGTTATCTGGTCATTTTTATATTGGGTGTATAGTTGAGATGGAGTATTTTGTGTGTAAGGCTAAATGATCACAGCATTTTCCTTAGATATGGGCCACTTTTGTTGTCCTTCAGCCAATTAACACAGTAGGGTCTATATAGACAAATAGCAACTGAACTTACTTCAGCATTTTCTATATGGACAGGACCAATTATTTTAACTTGTTAAATCTTGAGATGAGTTAGTTGTGCTTTGGATAGTCTGTTATTTTTACATGCTTTATATCACAAGGTCAGGAATGAGTTGTATGATTCTCAGATTTTTTGAAGCCGTTGTGAGGTGCTGGTGACACAGGATTGTTAAAACAGAGGCACTTGGAGCAATATTCCAAATTTTGTTTCCTCTGATTTCTATTTTCCCGGAGGATGGGAGGTTTAATTTTGCATGCATAGGTACTTGCATCTTAGTATTGATGAAGCGAGAATCCTTCATTAATTAGTATTGTTGATTTGGATTTCATTTGTATATTTTAAATGACTAGCCTGCCTGTATGTGCTTAAAGCTGAAGGTCAGTGGATGCTGATCTGATTAATGGAATACTTCATTGTACAGCTTCCATATTTCTTTTGCAATCCCTTGGAATCGAGTATGATTTTGCTGTGCAAAGGACAACTTATTGTAATATAAACAAATCACTTTAACTGTGGGACAAGACTTACTGTGACATGCGTAGTTTTTACAAAGGAGAAAAAATATGTCAAAAGGTCCAAATATGTGTAGCTCTGTTAATTTTTCTGCTCAGAAATGTATTGCAAAAGCATTAAAACGTTGTATTAAAAGATCTATAATCTTATCTAAAAATAATGATAGTTTAAATCTTAATTGGACAAGCAAAAATACCTTGCTAGGTCATTTATAAGAATCTAATAATTTCCTTTTCAGTAATGCTTTTATAGCCTCAGATTGAATGTAATTATAAAAGTAAAGAATCAATGCAAATAAGAAAAATACAATAGATAACTCTTATTGTCTTTATAACTAGTTTTAAGATGTGGTCTTAAAATTAATTCACTTATTAAATACTGTGAAAGCAATATGACCAAATAATAGCACCCATAATTTCTTTAAAATTATGGCTACATATAGAGCCTGGCAATCCTGCCTTCGAGGCTGTTAGCAATAGGAACTATTTTGCTTGCAACTTGTTTCTTTTAAACCCATATGGCAAAATTATGCCTCCCAGAGGTAACTTTTGGTAATGGAGAAAGTTGTTGGGAAGAACAGGGATAACCTAAAAGCCTCCTGTATTGATGAAGCCTCAAGAGAATATAAAAATCCTATGGAAGATGCAGATGATTAGAGAATTCTTGTTCACTGGTATTTCAGACTCTGTACAGACACAAATTACTGCACTTTCCAGCATCTTCTGAATCAATTTTACTGTCTTTGTGGCAGGAGAAGCGAAGCATCAGTGCTCTGAAGTAATGGAACCAGTCACACATTTAGTAATAATTTACAGAATACATCAAAGTTTTACTTCATTTATTGTGACAAAATTGTTGGTTTCATATTACTTTTAGAAATATTGGTCAGCTCTAATCTGGAAGAAACATTGTAGTTGAGATGTCTGTAAACAATTAGACTTTTCAATTTCTGTTATGTTTTAAAAATTAAATTAAATAGGAATTAAATATGACTGGTTTGTTCCAACAACACTGCCTGTTTTGTTGGGACAAAATTTATAACTTTTATAATAATAATAATAAAAATGCTCATTTAGGTTTCTGTTCTCCTGTGTGCTATAGTAGCATTGTAGAGATAAATGAAAAGTCGTAGTACACAGAGGTAAATGAAAAAAAAATTAAAGAATAAAAAGTAAAAATTCTATATATTTCATTATGGAAAATTTATAAGATGATTTCCATGACAACCATATAATAAGATTCATGTTTACTTTAATTCTGAGTTCTCAATGTCTTTTTAATGACTCCTGTGTAATTAAAACAGAATGCATAATTTGAGGTAACATAATATAAATCAGTTTTGTTTGCGTGATGCTGAATACTGTTAATACTTGTACAATGAACTGTTTAAGAGCCTTACATGTCCATTTGTTGCAGAACTGTGAGAAACTGGAAAATAATTTTGATGACATCAAGCACACGACTCTTAGTGAGCGAGGAGCACTTCGAGAAGCAATGAGGTAAGTCTGGGTCACCATAGCAACAGTCACAGATGTGGTAAAGAAAGAGTCATTCTTCATTATTGGGGGAACAAATGAGTTCATTGCCACCATTCAGCTCTATTCTCTAAGGTATTAATTTGTCAGTGGAGAGGCTTCCCTTGAGGCTGTACTTTGGTTTTGAAGCTGCATAAATGTTAAGCCTGACTGCACAGTAAAAAATGTAAATGTTTAATTTGTTATTTAAAATGCTTAAGGGGTGCCTTGCTTTATATTTATACTAAACTGTGAGTGAATGAAAATATTGTTCATCTAAATTCTATAAGTGTTAAAGCAATTGTACAATGGTGTCTGAACAAACCTGTATTTGCTTTAAATTGATTTTGATTTTTATGTATGTAGTTTGTGTGTACTCTGATTTTATCACCAAAATTATGTGATTTTGTTTTTTATAATGGAATGTAAGAATCTGTCTGGTCCTTTATGTGTTGTAGAGATGTATATTTTGTTTAATATCATCATATTGTTGCACTTAATACTTATTAGAGGAGGTTAAAATTAGTCAGAAGATTAATTTTCTGCCATCTTTATTTCCACTGCAGAGTATCTGGTACAGGACTCCAAAGTCCTGCCAGATATAGTGCCTGGAAAAGGGAGTGATTACTATGCAGAAAGGTGGTAGAATTGAAGACAGTTTTTCTAAAGTAACTTACTGAATAATCAGGAAGATGTTATTTATAGTATTATCTGTGAATCAGAAAATTATATAAGCTTCACTTTTAAAGGTTTTGAAATTGGATAGTAAAATGTAATGATGCAAGCATAGTGCTTCATCTCATTTGCCTGATATCAGGGTAACTTCTTACACTTGAAGCAGTACAATAAAAAGTAAAAACAACAACAATCCCCCTAAGAATCTACTTGAAAAAAATAAATACACCTATTTGCTTTGACTGTGTCCGTTATCCATTTAAATTTATTGATGTGTGTGAATGACTTGATTTGCATGGCTTACGTTCACGATGCTCGTCTCATGTACTCTGACTTTTTGAAAAGGTATTCTTACCTACAAGTATTCTGAACATTTCAACTACCAGTGCTGCAAATAACTGTAAAAATAATGGCATTCACCTTTCTAATAGTGATTTTTGCTTTATGCTTGTGTTGCTTCATATGTTTAGGGTTTTCTCCCAGTGTGGTCAGTCATCTGTGTACGTAAATCTTGCATGTAGTGTCAGAAAATGGAAAGTGATTTAAAATAAAGATTAGGGGACTTTTTGGCAAATGAAAAAGCTACCTTTAGTATTTGTAACAAATTGGATTTCAAGTTCCTGCTGTCCTGTAGTAGTGTTCATGTTTGTGACGTTTTGCAATACATGACTCAGCAGGGATAATGTTTTAAAAACTTGGGAGCTGACAGCTCTTTGGTGATCAACATTAAGTAGCAGGGGGAGCTTTGGCATTTCAAAGGTCATGTTTCTGTTACAAAGCCTGTTTAGAAGATTCTTGTGGTTCTTTGCTGTGCAAAAGCACTTTACTATCTCATAAATTTGTATCCTGGCTATTTTTGCTATTGTTCAAGCCATTCTGAGAAATAGTTATTGATTGTGAAGAGTGACAGATATTGTGCGGTGCTGGAATTCGCTTAATTGCAGTCAGTATTATATGGTTGGTTGTTTCCCAAGTTGCTTTTTTATTTTAAGATAAAGAAAATACCTGACTTACTAAATTTATACTGCTGTGTGTTTTTATAATACTCAAGTGCTCCATGAAAGGTGCAAAATGCTAATTTAGAAAGGTATCTGCATGTAGGTGTACATATATTTCTAAATATGTGTAAAATACACTTGTTTTAGGTTGTATGGTTCTTTCAACTGCTGTGTAGTCACCTTGTTTATGAGTGGCTGCATTTTTCTGTTTGGATCCCAGGATTATTTGTACATGTGTAATTAAGATGGTACATGTCTACAGAGTCAAGTTCACTTTTCCTTTCCATAACAAGAGTGGACATTGGACCAGGCATTGGAGGACATAGATTTGCTGACCTCAGTATTATGAGGTACCTGCCTCCTTTGGGTAAGGGAAGCTCGTGGAGAGGGTTGCACATTGCACAAAAGCACTAAAATCATGTGGGCATGAAAGCAGCAGCAACAAAAAAATCCTAGTTGGATAGCTAAGTGGATATATGTGGATCTCAGATGAGCCTTAAGTTGAGTGGGCAGTCTGCCCAAATCCTCTCTGATTTCCCAGAGTGGTACTACTGGTCTGCCAGATGAGAAAGACAATGAACACTTTTTCCCAGTGCTCCTGTTTGGAACGAGACCTTCCATTTTAACTTCATCTTTGAGAAAAATGGCCAATTTAATATGGGTTTCATACACTTCTAGTCTACGAGTATCACTGTGCTCTGCATAAACAAATACTAATATCCAAGAAGGGTCTTGTTCTGTTTCCAGCTCTTCAGTATTCAAATTGAGGACTACATGAAAATTATCTTTCTTGTTTATGTATATAGACATATGCAAAATAAACTTTCTGAAGTGTTTTGAAATTATGACAAAGCCTATGAACTTTCTCTACTTCTACTTTACACTTATTTTAGATTTTGTATGAGATAATGAGCTGATAGTAGTTTGCCATTATCCGGTATATAGAGTGGTAGTCTAAGAATTTGATTTACTTGTGATTGCACATAAAATCCATAAAGAATTCAATTCAGTTAATGTTTTGCTTATTTGGTTAATGTACTCCAAATGTTTTATTTATTACTATATTTTAATGCAGCTGCAAAGCTGAAGTAAACAATAAAAATCCATTAGTTTTTTGAATTGGAGCTTATAAATGGACAAACTATTGCTTGCTTACCTTTAATGTGTATATGATAAATTAATTGGATATTTTATGTAGTAACTTGGCAGAAAAAAATAGCTATATACCTATAATACCAGGTTGTATAAGTAAAAGCATTGCTATTTTGTTAAACAAAGCTCAATTTGTTTTTAATATATAATCACTAAGAAAAATCTGGATCCGAATCATGAGTAAAGTTTCATCTAGAATTTTAAAGGAGCTTTTTTAGACTGGTTTTTCTGCTATGAGGGGATAAATATTTGAGGAGCAGGAAGTGGTGTAGCTGAGTACTGACACTGGTAGGCTTTTCATAGGTGGTGAAACCAGAATGTGGACTGCTACAGTAAGCATTCCTCTAGGAAAGTAGGGTAGACTAGCCTTGAGGAGTCTTAAACTTAAGCAAACAATAACGATAGCCCTGCACCATTAAATTATAAGGTAACTTTGAGAAGTGTGGCAGAAATACAAACTCAGTTATTAATATCAAATTAGATATTAATAAATTACTAAAATAAGGTTTAATGAGTTCTTGGTTTAAAAAGGGCAAATTTCAAAAAGCAGCAGACATCAGCTGGCAGGAATTCTCTTCCTGCTGAATGTGTTCATTCTGTGTACAGGCATTCATTGTTATCATCAAGAGAGATAATCAGAATTGATGAAACTGGGAGACTGAAGATGATCTAAACATGTGGTCTCTGCATTTTATTGATTGCATACCAGCAAAATATTTTTGAACATACATCCCCCCTATTTGTATATTTATTCATGTATTGTCACTATACTAATATTTTACATGCATTATAAAAAAACCACACCAGAATGGAATTAAAAAAAAAAAACAAAACTATAAAGATGAAATACAAGTCTACCTAATTTTTTAAAAAAATAATTTATTTATTGCACAGAAAATATTTTCTTCCCACATTGATATGGCTTGTCTTATGCATAGTCTGCTTTGGAGATCATTGATCTGGACCATCTTTCCAGCTTAGAGCAGGGTCAAGCAGAGCAGGTTGCTGAGGGCTGTGTCCAACAAAGTTTTTTCATATCTTCCAGGATGGATGTTTCACGGACTGTCTAGGCAAATATCCTCACATTAAACAACAGCAAAACTCAAAGAAAAAGCTGCCAACACCTTCCCCCCCAGCTTTTTTTTTTTTTTTTCCCAACAGAATTCCACTTCAGCTTTTGCCTGTTTTTTTGCCCTTTTGCTGAGGACAATTGCTAAGCACAATCCGGCTCTGTTGTTTTTATTTCCTCCCATCAGATATTTATACATTTTGATAAGATTTTCCCCCGAGCCTGCTGTGCTCTACGTGTCCCCAGGTCCGTCAGCCTCACCTCGTGTGACAGACACTCCAGTCCCTTCATCACCTCAGTGCCCCTTTGCTGGGCTCCCTCCTGTACATCCCTGTTTCCCTTGGCCTGGGGGACCCCGCACAGGATGCAGCACTCCAGAGCAGAACTGGGCAGCAGAGAAGAATCTCCACTCTCAACCTGCAAGTAATGCTGTACCTGACACAGCCGCAGGTGCTGCTGGCCTTTGCTGCAAGGACTGGCTCATGGTTCATCTTGTCTTTCAGGACCCCCAGGCCTTTCCTGCAAAGCTGATTTCCAGCTGGTTGTTTGCAGCCTGTACTGGTGCCTGGGGTTGTTCCTCCCCTGGGGCAGGATTTCATGGTGGGTTGGTTTGGTTGGTTTTTGTTTGTTTGTTTTTAATGTGGTTTCTGTAGGCCTGTTCCTCCAAACTATCAACAGCAGCCCAACCCTTTGGAGTGTCATCACTCAGTAGGTAGTAGAGTGCTTTTGAACACTGTATATATGTTACTGTGTGTTTTAGACCTGTGTCTAGTGTACATTTCATGAGCCTGGTGTCAGACAAATGAAGCCATAGCATTTCAAACCAAACTTTTTCTGAGTCTAGTGTTGCAATTGCTTACTTACCCAGTGAATTGGTAAGCCACCATGGTGGGTTAAGGCAGTGAGCAATCAGCAAGGCTGGTGAGGTGTTAATACGTAAATGGGTCCTACTTGTAGGCGGATATGGAGATGGTCTGTCTTGTGAACACTGAGTATGTGTGAAAGCTTTGCAAGTCAAAATTAAAGCTGAGTATTTTTGTGTAGTCTTCTTGTTATTAAAGGAAAATTGAAACATAATAATTCGTACTTAGAAATGGGAAAGTTTGCTTATCTGTTTAAATCAGTATAAAAGATACCAAAGTTCATTTAGAATTTTCTTTTGCATTCATATATTTGCATATGGTTTTAGATAATATTAACAAGGGAGTGAAGCTTCAACTGTGATTTCCAGCTTGCTAGAAACAGTTTCTGTTAATGATGATATTCACTGTTGTCTTGACAACTGTGCAAGCTGGGGTTAGTAATAATCAGGCTTCTTTAATATGGTCTAGACTCTCAGATGTATTTGACAAATAGTTTCTATGACTGGGCAAAACCCAAGAAAATTGCAGTGTAAGAAGCTCCAAGGTTTCACAAGTATTCATTAGTTTGCAGAGTAAAAGCTGGAAATTTCAACACAAACAAAACAAGTCTGCAGTGTAAACTACAAAATATGTAGTAACCAATTTGTTAGGGCTTTGGCCTGGGATCTGGCAAATGTGGGTTCATATTTAGGTTTTGAGTCAGGCAACTTGGTTTTCCCATTTTAAAAAGCATCATAGAGCTCTAAACTTAGAGAAACATAGACATGAAGAATAAGGGATAAGGACAATGAAAATGTCATGTTAAATGTGTTTTTTCTTTCCTGTATTGTTCTCAAACTTTTCTGAGAGATAGGACCAATCTCAGGTAGATAGAAAGGGAAGGTGAATTAAGAGCAGTAAAGGCTTCTGAGTTTCCTGATTCAAGTCCCAGAGCTTGTTCAAAGAAATCCTCCTGGGGAGGTGGAAGCCTTTGAAGTGAATTCCAGTATTCCAAAGTTCTGTACTTCAGTAAAGCCTTCAATACTTTACAGAATTCTCCTGGCAAAGCTGGCAACCCATGGCCTGGACAGATGCACCCTTTGGTGGGTTAAAAACTGGCTGCACAGCCGGGCCCAGAGCGTTGGGGAATGCTGCTGCATCCAGCAGGCAGGTGGATATCTTTATAGATGATCTGGCCAGTAAATTTGCAAAAGACTCCTGGGTTGGATGGGAGCATTAATCTGCTGGAGGACAGGAAGGCTCTGCAGAGGGATCTGGCCAGGCTGGATTGGTGAGCTGAGGTCAATGGAGTGAGGTTCAATATCATGGAGTGACGGATCCTGCACTTGGGTCGCAACAACCCCTGCAGTCCTGCTGGCTTGGGAAGAGTGTCTGGAAAGCTGCACAGTGGAAAAGGACCTGAGGCACTGGTTGGCAGTAGCTGAACATGAGCCAGCGTGTGCCCAGGGCGCCAAGAAGGCCAGGGCCGTGGTGGCCTGTATCAGGAGCAGTGTGGGCAGCAGGAGCAGGGCAGTGATTGTGCCCCTGGACTCGGCACTGCTGAGGCCACACCTGGAGAGCTGTGCCCAGCTCTGGGCCCATCACCTCGGGGCAGACACTGAGGGGCTGCAGCCAGGCCGGGGAGGGGCAGCGGAGCTGGGGAAGGGCTGGAGAGCGAGGCCAGTGAGGAGCGGCTGAGGGAGCTGGGCTCAGTCTGGGCAGGAGGCGGCTCAGGGGAGAATTCGCCGTTCTCTACAACTGCCCGCAAGGAGGGTTTAGCAAGATGGGGTCGGCCTCTTCTCCCAGGCAGACAGAGACAGCACAAGAGGGCATGGCCTCAAGCTGTGCCAGGGAGGGTTCAGCCTGGACATCAGCAGGAATTTTTATCACTGAAAGGGTTGTAAGCATTAGAACAGGCTGCTCAGGGAGGTGGTGGAGTCACTGTCCCTGGAAGTGTTTTAAGAAACAACTGGATGTGGCACTTAGTGCTGTGGTTCAGTTGACAAGGTGGTGTTTGGTCAAAGGTTGGCCTTAGTGATCTCAGGGATGTTATCCAAACTTAAGTCTAGTGGCTACTTTCATAGCATGATTGTGTTAATGTGTTTATTTGGTACTGAGGGAGTTAGTCCAAGTTTCTCTTCTACTTTCTTCTATATTTACATTTATCTCCAGTGCAATCACTTGAATGGTGCTTTGGGCATGCTTTTTGGGGAAAGCAAGTGACTGCTTCTTACGTATTTAACAAAAATGTTGTGCTGCTTCCAAACTGCAGCAACACTTTGCATCTTGGGTGACCAGCTCATGTTCCTCTGATACATCTATCTCAGCATCAGGAAGCAAACACCCTTTACCATGGAGGACATATTATTTAGGTAAGCTACTGACCGGATTATTGATTCAGACCCTTATTTAGAGTGTATTTGGCTTAGAGATACTCCCTAAAAAAATTAGTTGGTGTTCTCAGAGTGAAAACAAAAAGCCAAAAAAAAACAACCAATAAAAACCCACCCGAACCCCCCCCCCCCCCCCCCCAGAAAATCCCATACAGCTGTGGAGTTTAGGGAATATTTAACTTGCTCCCCTTGGAATTTATTTTCTATATATGCATCTTCACAATTTTATAAATTTACCATATTATTAATGGCTTATGGAGATGAGGAGATGCTGCATAATGCTCTTGTTTCTAGTCATGTTTGGTATTGCATAGAAATGCACGTAGAATGTTAAAACACTTGAGAACTTTTAATAGTACTTCCATTATGAAAACCCATGTGGCTAATATGAGTTTAATTTTGAGTGCCATTTTGAAATCACAACTTCACTATCATTCTTAGTTTACATTACAGATCAAACAGATTGCCAACATCACTTGCGCTGACGAAGCATTAGCCGTATGCTTTTGCAGTGCAAGGCTGCCCTGGATAAGGATAGCTATGACTAACCAAGCTGCTTATGTGCTAGAAGCTGTTTAGTGGCATTAACAAGGCACTGTTAAGCTGTGCCCATGCAATTTTACCATGCTCTTTGGTGGCTAACTAACTTCTGAGTCACCCACTAGCCACCCTTTGTAAGCCTGAGATGAATTGCTCAGATCTGGCCACGGTGGAATAATTTCTGTCTATAGATAGATGCTGCAGAGCTCTAACACCAAGCATATATAGGAACCCATTACATTAATGTAATTATTTTTGGGATAATTATTAGAACTAGCATTGTCTTTGTCATTTCTATGGAGAATTAACTTCATAATTCATTTTGCAATTAAAAAGAAAAAGGTTCTGATATGTGTCACTCACTGAAAAATTTGTGAAACTAGTGATAATGCTTAATTTTTGTACTAAAGAATGTAACTGCATTGCCTTATATATTTTTTTCAAGTATAAATCAAGAAAATTATAAAGTACCTTGTTTTGGGCTCTATTGTGATAGACTGTTCTGTTGAATATCAGCTTCATAATACTTTCCCAAAAATTTTAAGACTGAAATGAATTTCCAAGTTTTTCAGCTGATTGCTGCACATCCCTTGTTCAAAGTATTGTATTTAATTTCTTATTTTTAATTTATGAATTATATAATTTTTTTGGTCCAGTGACAGGCTGGTTTATTTAGATGTTACAGGCGAAGAGATCAAGATAAGTTAGATTGTTTTCCTTTGAATGCTCCTTTAGTCACGTAGCCAGGATAAACGGATGAATACAACTTTCACTCATGATGTTTCTGAATGGCAAATATGAAACAATACTCTTTTTTCTTTTTTTTTTTTGCTATTCCAATTGGCAATGTAGATTTGCAGTTACTTTACATCAGAGGTTTGAATTATGCCCCATAGTGTATAAAACCCATACATGGATATAGAAAAAAAGCATTGTGAGCAAAATAGCAAAATAAATAATATTAACAGATTTGGAAACTAAATTATAATTGCCCCTTTTGTTGATATACTGAAATGTGCTTTAGAAAACGCCTTATATGAACATTTTTAATAAACTCTTGTATGTTTCTCATATGCTCCTTTATATGTATTACTGTGACCAAAATATGCTTTGGTCTGTTCTGAGTATGGTAAATATGTTGTTTCTGTATTTGTCTGTAGTATTCCTAAGAAATATTTCAGAGGGGAGAGGAAAAAAACACCTACTTTGTGTCGCTTCCACTAAGGAGAGCCTGCTTTTGGTTTTGAACAATTTAGTTTTATGATTTAAAGAAAAGAATTGGATAATAGTCAAAATTTGGTTTTTAACAAACTGCAGGAGATGTTGTCTGATGTTGGTAGTGAAAGAGATTTTGAAAACCACTGTGACAGATGGCTTACCACAAAGACTCCAAAGGTGGCGTGCAGGGGGTGCAGCATCATACTTTTCAGTGACTAACAGCCACTCCTGCAAACACAGTAGAAAATTACACTACAGAATTTGGAGTTCACTCCATGGGTTCCCTCTTTGTTGTTTTTTAAAATGTGAAGTTTGAAAATATTTCTGAAATGTGTTCTTTGCTACCACAAGCGTTCAGGAAAATGTGTTCTGGATTGCCAAAGAGACAATGTATACAATATGGACTAGCAGCTTACACATTTCAAAAAGGTTTTGGTTCGTGACATATAATTTTTTTTTAAAAATGCAGTTATGAGTGAAGAAATTTTTCTGGTGGTTTTGCTATGAGCCATGGCTTTTTGTAGATTATTTATGCTTGATTTTATGTTGCAGGGTTTTGGATTGTTTAGGTAGAAGGTTGCATTTTATCATTTTAAACCAATACTGCAAGTTGGGGATGTTTACAGAAGCTGAGTGTGTTGCATCTTTGGCAAAGAAGTCAGATGTTTTAGTGGAAGATGTTGAAGCTCATGCTGTTTTATTTAGAAGTCATTTGTTCAATCTGTAGCCAGCCTACTGAGAGTACCACATTCCATGTGTATTTAACAAAGGCCATTTCCTACAGTTTTGTCTACAGTCAGAAACCAGTCTGTCTTTAAAAATGCTGTTTTACATAGATCTGCACTTATTTCTTTTGAGACATTCACTGTAGTTCTCAAAAGCTTGAAAAAGTGTAATCCTTTTTCCTCCTTTGTGTTGTTCCCGGACTTTCTGTTGCCATGAGTGTCTTTGAGCACATTCTCTTCGGAGTTCAGCATACAAAGCAAACCTAAGTGTTTGAGGAAAAAATACAATCTTCATTGGAAATTGCATTATTAGGTAGTGTGTCCTTCCACTGTATGTTCATTGTTGCCAGGTAATCATTATCTTTTCTGATTATGGTGGTGTGCTGATTTGGGTGGGGTACAGTTTGCTTTCTTCACAGCAGCTGCTCTGGGGCTGTGTTTTGGATTTGTGCTGAAAACAGTGTTGACAACACAGGGATGTTTTAGCTAATTCTGAGCAGCACTTGGACAGAGTCAAACCTTTCCTGTTCCTTACTCTACCCCTCTGCAAGGATGCTGGGAGTGCAAAAGGAGTTGGGAGGGGACACAGCCAGGCCAGCTGACCCCAACTGACTAAACTGCTTTTATCTCAACCCATAAAGTTTCACTTCTACCATTCTGATTCTCTTCCTCATTCCATCAGGAGGATGTGAATGAGTGGCTTGGTGAGGCTTAGTTGCTGGCTGGGGTTAAACCATGACATCTGTTTAGAACCCCTTGGTTATAATGACTATTATTAGCTACTGCTACTTTACTTTTTTTGCTGTCTCTTAAGAGTTCTAGCTTTATATTATACTGGCTGCTGCAGTTTTTCGATGTAAGAGCAAACATCCATTTTCCTAGAAGTGTTTTGTATGTTGGGGTGAGGGTGTTTCAGAGATTAAACTCTGGGTCCAGCTGTGCCCTAAGATATTTACCTTCCATCAAAATTAATCTGTCCTTCCCCTGTAGACTTCTGAATTTAAATCCTGTTTATTTACTTGAGGCTGTTTGGGAGACCAAGAAAAGATTATCTAAATTTAATGTTCTGATGGAATCAACTTGTTTATTGAAAGTAAGACTGTAAAATGTATTGGACTTTTTTCAGTGAGACAGTTGTTAAGATATGCTGGAATCAGTACCGTACATTTAACTAATTGAATACGAAATATAACAGAAAGAGTTTCCCATCCTTATTTCTTCAGAACAAAGATTCCTACTTTACATAGGAATTGGAGCTTGCTGTTGAAAAGTTGATGGGCAGCCATTTAAGCCCTAGACCACTTTAGATTTTTCACTACACCATCCAGAAGCTTTCACTGCTAGTGCCTAAGGCAAGGCTACTAAATCTCAAGGCATCTAGAGCTGAGGATCTCGGGCAACAATTTGTACAAAGAAGCTGCTTACAGAGTGAGACAAACATAAGAGTTGTCGTAGAGAATAAAGGAACAAACTATTCTTGATAACATCTCCTGCCATCTTGAATGCCCAGGACTGCATATCTGGGGTGTGCTTTGTAAGGTGCACGCAGTATTGGCAGTGGCAAGGTTCTCTGTGGAGCAGGCATTTGTAGAAGGCTTCAATTTGTATGTATGTATTGTATATAGGTTGTTCAGCATTTAGTTCTGGTTTGGTCCAATGCCAAAAATTAAGGTGATTTGTGGTTTTTGTGATTTGTTGGTTGTTTTGTTTTGGGGGTTTTTTTGTCTCCAGGAAGAAAAAAAAATGGTGTTTTCTGTAAAATAAGTCCTGAACTGTTCTAAATATTACCATAGAATTACACCCATTCAAATGAATTTTAATAGTTGATCTCTACATGGAATGGAATGTAATGGAAATAATTATAATGTGATTTCCATCAGAATGCTTACAAGACTTGACTTATAATCTGATATCATTACAATACAATAATCTTTTAAAACAAATAAATTATTTTAAAATAATAGGACTACTTTTTAAAGTCCTATTTTTAAGAGGATTTAATATTTCTACTATTGCCACATTAAAAATTAGGGATTGCTATTACTATATATAGTACTTTTTAAATTTAATAAAGTCATTACGGCTGCTATCTTTATAAAGACTATTACATTTATTACTACTATCAAATAGTAGTGTTTCATGGTACCGATTAATGCCACAAATACTTTTCTTAATACTATTTTGCCTATTGAAGATTTTTCCACATTTCTGGTCATTAATTAGTATTAACCAAGCATTTCCTTTGTAACTGTTTATGTGTCAAATGAAGAAAAATATTTTAAAATTTACATCTGACAGTATTACCAAAAAGACAAGAAAACACTCTCTGAGGAGTGTTTTAAAATAGAAAAAAAAATTATAAAATAATTTTTCTCTTTATCGTACCTGATATATCTTCCTGATTGAGCAAAAGTGGCTTTCCTAATGCCTCTTCTTGCTTATCTGTGTATTTCTAATGAAGAGAGGATGCACTTGAGCACATGCAGAGCAGTTTCTGTTCCCTTGGAGCTACAGTGGCTTGCTTGTCTCATGGCTGGCTGTTACATGTTGATCTGTGCCTCACAGTATCCACCCCTCAGTCTTCCCTTTGCAAATTTACTTGCATGGCAACTGCTGGTGCTGTTAACCCTCTTCTGTCCTGAAGGTTATTCCCTTGTGGCTTCTCAGATTAAATATTTAATTGGGGTGGAAATTGTTTTTCTTGTGAGTAAAGAACTATACGGAGCTGTTTAAAAATACTTTAACGTGAATGGTTCTATATTTACCAGAGATTCTGGCTCCACTGAGCGTGTTGCACTGAAGAGAGCTGTGGCAGCACGGCTGGGAGCCGCTGGCCGTGTGGCTGCAGTAGTCTGAACAGAAGATGTTTCTTGAGTGCATCTTTCAGCCTGTGCTGAGATGCAGCTGCACAATGAGCAGCGTGTGGCTTGGCTTCTCCCTGGGTAGGTAGAGGAGCACCGATGGCTCCTGTGTGGAGCCATTTGTTCAGTCATGGCCTGCCTGTAAGGTGCTCGGTGTCACCTCCTGGCTGCCGGTACCAGCTGTGTGAGTGCCAGGCAGGAATGCTCCCCTGGAGGCAGGTGAGCTTCCATGCTGGCCCTGGCACGGCTGGCACAGGGAGCTGGCACAGGGAGGCTGGGGGACACGCATGTCCATGGCGGTTCCCCAAGCCTACAGGACCAGGTTAGAAGTGAGCTGAAATAAACACTTTCCAGGAAGTGTTATGTCAGGTTTAACACTGGTTGTTTTGTTGTAGAAACCCTTTGCTTTAGGGCCACACTGCTCATAGACACAGTCATTTTCAGGTATCTTCTGCAATTAGTGATGTAGCCATTCTAGGGACATATCCTTCTGTAGGCAGAATCATAGGGAAAGGCTGGTTATCACCTCAGAGGATAGAGACCCACTCTTCACCCAATTGCAGATGAAATCCCTGATTTTCCTTTTATACTACAGGGAGGCATTTAACCAGCAGGGGCTATACAGAATGTGTTTTTTTCCCTTTTTCTTAGTTGAAATAGATCTGTTTCAGTAAGTGTAAAACTCCCCGCTTCTATGATCAAGTTGTATTCCTTTATTCTATTTGGGTACATTGGGTGAATGAAGACTTTACCTCTAATTTGGAAAGGTCTGAGTAATCTTCTTGCTATTGGCAGTGCTAACTACTCTTTCTACTGCTAGTATAACAATGTCATAATACATAAAATTTATTGTGTTTTAAAACTAAAAATGAAAACAGAGCCTTAAAATGTAAATTCTCTTAATATTTTCTCTTCTATCATACTCATTTAATTCTTGATGTAAAACAATAATTCATTGCTTTTGTGCTGGGAGCACGAAGCCACAAGTTGATAATGGTAACTCAATGTTTGTAATATAAAGTGCTGTTCCTGTAGTGTGGTCCAATTACACAATAGTAAAGCAGGGATGTAACACAGCAATGCTGCTTTCCTATTTGTTTCAGTAAGTTTAGCACAGCGGGAAACGTGGCATTCTTCCAAGGTAATGCGTCAAGCTTACAGTTGGATGGAAGTGCAAAGGAAATTATTCCAAGACTTCATGTACCAGCTAATAACTCTCACTGAATGTATGTGACAATTGTCTTGTGAAATGTATTTGATGTCATTTCGCTGCAAGGATTTTACATTTTAATTTTGGGATATTATGGTATTCTAGAGATATTTGAAAAAGTTTCTCTGTAGGTGCTACATTTACGGCATTGTAGTTTTAGTAATCAAATGCAATTTCTGTCTGGTTAGAGAGCATGTACACCCTTTTAAAAAAATCCTGCTCTATCTTCTGAAATCAGAAAGAAGTACTCCATTAATTAGTTCAAATTATGTACATTGTTTCTCCAAAAATGTCCTATTTTTTGAGGAAGAATATATCTAAAACAAAAATCTGAACTGAAAATATATGCAAGATAGCAACAGAATGTCTCCTTTCTTTTTGAAGTGTAGAAAGTAATAATGTATCAGCCATTTGGCAGCTGGGAGAAACCAGAACTGTCGAGGCATCTTTTTTGGTAGTCATTTTGCTGTAGAGACCTGGGGGTTGGATAGGAATCAGAATTTTTGCAGTTTGTCTTATTCTTCACTAGTTTTCACATTGCTTTAAAGCCATTCCCCGAGTCAGTAAATATCACTGTTGCACTGTGGTGTCAACCCACTGCGACTGTCTTAAAGGTACACTGATAGTCTTTAAAGCTTTGAACAGTCCTCAGCAAAATATATTCATTTAAAATACCATGGCAGTGGCTTTATAAACAGTTTTGTGGTATATCTTTTCATGTTTCAAATGCGGTGAGGAGCAGCCACTGCTTATGGTGCATTAGCAAATAGTTCACGATTAAGGAGTTATTCTTTAGCCTCACTAAAAGTCTTGGAACAGAGGGTGTCAGTGCATACTAAAAACAGTATTGGGTTTTCTTTTTGTGAACCACAGAGAGATCAGAGTTCATCAGTTAGTTCCAAACAGGCTATTGAATGCTATCATAGGTAAAAATACCAGCTGTACTGCACCTGGTTTGATTTTATGATTATAAAAGTAAAATTCCTCCATCTCAGGCTTTTTTTTTTTTTTTTTTTTTTAATCCCCAGTCCTCATTTTTCAGTCAGCATTCTTAGAAGGGTATATGACACCTCTTGCTCACATTTTCTCTGTGGTAGTAAGTTTGGGCATACAATAAAGATAATAATTACTACTAGTGTTTAAAGCTTTCCGAAAGTCTTTAGTTACATACATGCATACACCTTTCTTGAAGCATTTCTGAATGCCTTTGGCAGCATTGATCTAGCCAGTGAACAGTTCGTTGTCATTGGCAGTATTTGTTGTTCCAGAGGGTGTGTTTGTTCCAGCTGGTGGGAGTTGTTTCAACGCTGACATGTGAAAAGTGCATAAAAAAAAATAAAGAACAGAAGAGATACGCAGGGGTTAATCAGCCAACCATCAGCCTTGGCCCATGCTCCTGCAGGCAGAAATAGTATCAGGTTTGGGGGAAAAAAAAAGACTACTGAGCTGGCTGAGCTTGAAGACCTGAACAGGTCCAGCAAAGCAAACTGCAGACAATTAACAGGGCTGAAATTGGGGATTAATCATTACTGATATCCCATAATAATTCCTACTAGCATCAAGAGCACCAACAAATTCTCCATGCAGTTAATATGGTGAGCTTGCTGCCTACAAATGTGTGTTGTGGATGTTGTCAGCATTTAAGGGTCCTTGTGCATGAGGATTGCCTCACGCAGTGGGGAGTGAAAGAAGAGCGTGTTGAGTGGACGAGGGTACATGCTGATTTGGCAAAGGATATAGAATGAATTCCTGGGTCAATAGTGATAATGATCAGAGTGCCTTTCTGATGAATAATTAAGTATGGGGTGGTCAAAATTTTCCTCTCAGTAGTGACATAATTTGGCATAGTAAGTGCCAATATTTAATGAAGAATACACGTTTGGGATTGTCCAAGCTGGTTTTAGGCTCTTACAGCTGCTTTCATAGCTTTGAAAGCTCTATTTAGGATTGTACAAAAAAAAAAAAAAAAACCCAAACCAAGCCCCCTCCCCACATTTGAACATCACCTGTCAGGGGTTTTGGGGACAGCAACAACAAAAAGAGGATCAGTCAAAGATAAAGATCAAAACCACAGAGTGACAAAACATGCTTGTCCCTGGATATCCACGATCAGAGTATCTGTTCAACACCTTGCTTTGCTTTGATGACTAGTGCTGACACTGAGATGGTGATGCTTTTTCAGTAACAAAACTCCAGCTGAACCACTGAGTCAGTATATGCAACATGCTGTGATTTTTTTTTCACCTATTTCCTTGCAGACAAACAAACATACAGTGAGAGAACAAGTCATTACAGTATGCATTTTGAATGCTACAGGCAGTCCTGAATTAAAAATAAAAGATGAAATCTAAGTTCTATGAAAATAAATAGCATCTTTCTTTAATCCAAAGCCTCATACCTACTGCTATACAAAGCAGAATGACTGGAAAGTTAAAACTTGGTATTTTGTTTATTGTTATGAATCACTCATTAATTCCCTTGCTAAATTTCATAATTTAATGTTTTCCAGACCTTTAATTATTGTGGCACTGAATTTTCACCAGTAAATTTGTAATTATTTCTGTGCATTGTGTGGCAGTGTTGTCTTTTTTATTTAGTGTGTAACTCCTTTTTGGCAGGAGTAGTGCAAAATAATTTTGAGTGTTTGGAGGTGAAAGGACTGTACCACTCGGATGAAGTGAGGATTATTTCTGAAAGCATAACCTACACTGTTGTTGCTGTCTTAAATATGTCTTAGTGCTTTATTTGCTTTTATATTTAAAATAACAGTTTGATGGTTAACATTGGAAATTACTACAAGAAGGGAAAGGAAACTTCCAGCTTTTTTACACCGCATCTTGGTTGCAGTGGGAACAATGGGTCAGTGGCACTAAGTATTGTTGGATAGTTTGCTAATTTTCCTCCAGTGGATGGATAACAATCAGTTAATACCTTTAACTCTTTATTTATTTTTATATTAAAAAAATATAAGGAAAAAAAGCAGTGGGGAGGATTTTTTCTCATCATCATCTCTGATTGCCATGTTATTTTTATGTACGGGGAAGATTCTTTTGGTATAATCAATCTGCTGCTACCCATTTTACTGCCAAGCATTCCTTCTCTATGGTAGCGTAATGTTACCTAGGGAACAGCTTAAAGCTGACACATACAGTGGTGCCACAAATTAATTTCACAGTTATCAGGATATAGGGTGATAACAACAACATGAGCTACTGTGAAATTACCATTGTTCCTCTTGAGTTACAGTGTAATTATTACTTTTGTGGCAACTATGCAAATAACTCATGTCACTACTGTAGGATGGGATGTGCATTCCTTTCTCTGATTCAGTATTTTGTGCTTCAGAGACATCTTTATGTGCTATAAACTAGAGCTCTGCTTTGAATTAAAAGGTACATATGGTTATATCTTCACAAAAAAGAAAGATGAAAAAGAGAAAAGCAATACTTAAGAGACTAAAAACCAAAATCCATTGCAGTCTGTCCATTATCACCTGGAATCAGATCTGCAAATACGTGATAATTTAATAAAATAATAACCACACTGTTATTCTTTCATTATTTCCAGAATGAGAGTTGGAACTTTCCTTCAAAAAGGGAGCTTTGAATTAGTTCTATTATGGGATATTTGAATTACTTCTATTATGGGATATTTTCAGGTTTCTTTGCTGCTGTTTTGGTTTGGTAAAAGGGACAGTTGAAGAGATGTTTGATTACATTTATTCTTATTGACAAGTAGGGGAAAAAAATTTGTGGAGCAAGATGAAGGTGCTGTTTCCAGTATATAAGATGGAATGTATCCTTGGCCCTGGACATTAGACACTGGTTAAAACAAACCAGCTGCTGAGGGTTAGTAACGGCAGAAGACCAGGTCCCATTGTGTGGTGAAGCTGGCACAGGTGCTCCTTGTAGTGCTTGCTTAGAACCAGAAAGAAGTAAGCCTGTTTTGGGGGGCTGCAGGGCAGTTTATGTGTTTTCAGAAAGGTAAGATCTGTCAGGTGGTTTTGATTTTCTTTTTCTACCCATAGGCTGAGATTTAAAAAAATTCCTATGGAGAGCTTGGATGTGCAGCTTGCAATTATGTATGGATGGATCACCATAAGAAGCTTTCAAGATTTTTATTCTAGATAAGTGGCTAATGACCAGATTTTCAAAATTGCTGAGAATTCAAGGGCTTTTAATATTTAAAAAAATTAAAGAAAGAATATTTTTGAGATGTGCCAGTTAGAAAAACATCACAGCTACTATTGCATGTAAAGAGTGAACAAATGAAACTTGATTAAATAGGTCCATAATTATCCAAGAGAAAATCTATATGTGTAAGATAACTCACTATTATAAAAATTGAGAGCAAGACAAATTTCTCTGAAGGACAAAATTCCAATGACGGGCAAGTTTTTTTTCTTTTTTTAGGGTTTAGTGAAACTTCATTGACAAATAATTGTAATGGAGTGATACCCTCTGATTTCCCCACCACTCCCCAATTTAAACTCAGTTTATATTTTTTAGTATATAAAAATG